TAGCGTTTGACAGGCATTAGACAGGCGTTTGGGAAACGTTTTTAATGCTCCTCAATCGCTCCCCAAACGCCCTATGTGTGGTTTTGAGGAGGTTGATAGGTGTTTGGCAAGCGTTAAAACCACACCACAAATGCCTATAATGAAGTTAAATGGTATTAACGCTCCACAACCACCTCGCTCCCGCCTTCCAGGCTTTTGCAGAGCGGCAGAGTAGACTTGAATGGGAGGCTTCAACTCCTCTTGACTTGACAAGAGTCGAGTCACACTTGACTTTATTTCTAACTCTTGCCAAACGCCCCTATAGCGTTTGACAGGCGTTAGACAGTCATTTGGGAAACGTTTTTAATGCTCCTCAATCTCTCCCCAAATGATCTCCAAATGCCCTATGCGCGGTTTTGAGGCGATTGATAGGCGTTTGGCAAGCGTTAAAACCGCACCACAAATGCCTATAATGAAGTTAAATGGTATTAACGCTCCACAATCGCCTCCCAACCGCCTTCCAAGCTTTTGCGGAGTGGCACCATAGACTTGAATGGGAGACTTCAACTCCTCCTGACACGACACGAGGCGATAGTTTTGCGACGCAACGCTAACGCTTCAGTGTGAACAGCACTGTGTGCTGCCATGTGCAGAATTTTCATAGGAGTTTGAGAAGCGTTAAAAATGCTTCCCAATCTCCTATCTGACACCTGCTGACAAAGCTAGTGTGAACTGAATAAATAAATTGGTGTAGCGCTAAATAAATACTACCATGTGTTAAAAAGAAATACATATATATAATAATAATAAATACCACTCTAAACGTGTTTACATAAAAATATATAAATATATATATATATATACATGTGATATAATATGTGATATAGTAGTGCAAACACAGCAATAAATATATGTATAATGATTCCCCCACCTGGGGGATCAAAATAAATGTGAACAATATAATAGTGCAAGTGTACAAATCCACATTCAGTGAAAAAAATTTATATATATTCAGTATATATTGCACTATTATATTGTTCACATTTATTTTGATCCCCCAGGTGGGGGAATCATTATACATATATTTATTGCTGTGTTTGCACTACTATATCATATATTATATCACATACTGTATATATATATATATATATATATATATATATATATATATATTTGTATATTTTTATGTAAACACATTTAGAGTGTATTTATTTATTTATTTATATATATATATATATATATATATATATATATATATATATATATATATATATTTCTTTTTAACACATGGTAGTATTTATTTAGCGCTACACCAATTTATTTAATAATTTATTACACTTTGTGGTTGAAGTATGGTGTTTAGCAGCTTAGGGTAGGGATTCATTTAAGCGCAGGAGATTGTTCTTATTATATATTTTAGTGTGAACTGAGCCTAACTTTTACTTTCAATAATAATAGTAAACAGGACAAATAAAGAGTAGGAATGCCCTAAAAAGGGGCACAAACAGCAATAAAACCTGACAGGTGTTCTAATCCATCTCCACTCTATCCAAAACTAACACAAAAAAAATTTCCTTTAGTGACAATTTAAGTTCAGCTGCCCCTAGTGAACTTGGTTAGGTCTGAAAAGTTTGAATAAATCAAATTTAAAGAGGAACAGTCAAGAATGGCCAGTTTAGATTTCTGGAAACTTGATCTGGTTGGTGTGCATATATACTCTAATTATATTTGTTCCATTTTCTGGCAAACAGCCCCATTGTCTGCTACTGATGTCAGGCTGCATTTCCCACTACAAACATGGCCCGTGTTGGCCAATAATCATGGTTTTCATTTTCACTGTGTTCTACTTTGTTCTGCTTGAGGAGCCATTTATCTCTTGACATATATTCTTGCTTAAATAAACTGTCAGGTCTAAAAAAGAGCAGTGAATAATGATGATACCTTAGCACATTGGGTGAACTGCACCCTCTTTTAACTCTCAGATGTGTTTGTGTTTCATTAACCAGGACAGTAGTGATTAGGGGAAGTGATTAAGACTTAGCTATGACCTTGTGTTTACCTGTCTGCATCTTCTCAAGGGTAGTTTAATCAGAAAGCAATCAGCACAAAATACACAAGTCTGACAATAATATGCTCAAATCAAAGCGTTGGATAAATACCTTTAAAAAAAACTTCCTTTCAGTTCCTTGTTCAGTTCTTGATGCTGAATCCTGAGTAAAGTATGTGGTAATTAAGTTCTTCCACCGACTGTAGGATCTGATCATTAACCTGAAATATAAGATTATGTTAAAAGGAATGACAAAAATGGTTAAAAAATATGTGATACTGACATACTGGAAAGTAAAACAAGAATGTTGGTCATGTGTTTTGTGGCTACCATAAAGCATAAATAATTAGATAGCACCCGACCAAGGACTTACATCTCCTGGTGGATTTTTACCTACAGGTAAGCCTATAAGAAAGCCCCGTACACACAATGAGAATATCGAATGAATGATCGTCCAGTTTTTTTTGCATGCTAGTCTCCATATCGAAAGTGAAGAGGTTACTAAAGTTATGAAAATTCTCGTATGACAGAATAAAAATTCAGAAGTGATGTAATGTATTGCATTTTCAGATGAAAACTATACTGCTTAAAATGAAAATCATGCGATCTGGTATTGTACAAGAAAATTTTTTGTGATTATCCCTTCAAATAATTTCAGACGCAAGCTGTGTAGTTACAATCAGATAATCATACGATTGCTTTGAAAGCAGTATATTTTGTACGATTTTCTGATCGTGTATACTAGGCTTTAGGCTTACCTGTAGGTACAGTGAATATCTCGTAAACGTGCACCGCTTAGGAAATACTTACTTTAGTAGCAGCCGGTGATGTCATGGCGTATGCGCACTGGGTTATGAAAAGACTGCTATTCTTTCGGAACTGTGCTTTGCTCACATCATTGCAGCTCGACCATTCAAATGGCCGAAGCATGCCAACTCATGGGGAAGATGGAAGCCATGACAGCATGCCACTGGAGGACTTAATTTTAAGGTCTGTCATAATGCATGCATACTAGCACATTATGACATTATCGTGCAGGGGTCCAATTTTTTTTTCCCTGATTCGGTTTACTACTGCTTTAGTAATATACACAAAAAAGATATTTCCCTGTTTCATAGAAATACATAAAGGCTGCCCGCCGGTATAGAAATTTGGAAGCTTCCCCTGCTGATCAACCTTTATCCTTATTAGTTGACTTGGGGCAACAGTGAAGTCTGTAAAGTGGTTTCTTTAAAGTGACAGGGTCACAACTCCTGTCGGATGCTTCTTTAAAAGAGACAAATCTTTGCCTGCAGACTCTTCAAGAACTAACACCCCTTGGAATGGCAACCCAGTGCTCCCCCATGGCACTTAGAGGTTCCTCCCACAAACCCCTGTGCCACTACTATGTTCTGTATATGTGTGAAAGTAAGAGTAAAACAACATTCAGTTTGATTTACAATGGCACTATGAGCAGAGATATCATACTTGGAGTAAGAGATTCCCATATAAATGCAGATCATCTGCATGGATGTTTCATGTCACTTCCAATTATCAGTGAGTGTTTGGGCCAGCACTGGCACATACTGTATAGATACAGTATATTGCTCTCAAACAACTGTTTTTATTACCCTCCTGATGATACTGGCTGTTGGCTCTTGTCTGGACCAGCCATATCCGTCATATTTACTCATCACCATTATCTGTAGGACATCTGCTCACCCTCTGCTGAAGGGGAAAAGCTATGGGCAGCCCACTTTGAAGGTTCTTTGGGCGGCTTTACAGCCATCATTTGGGAAATACAAAAATGTCACAGCACATATGTGAAAATGAAGTCACAACATAGTATGGCTGTGTAGCCAGCTGTTAATCTTAAACTTTATGCTATAGAATTAAGTCATTATTTGCTGATTGCCTTCATAACATTCACAAACAAATTTAAATGTCACAGAAATGTCAAACATTGCATTTATTGTATGCTGCTACAAAATATGTTGGTAAATTCCAATATCTCTATATGAAAAAAAATAGTCACTTAATATTAAAAAGGGTGGTGCTTAGCAAGGCTAGTGCTTCCACTAGGCTGCCTAGGGTGCCCTGCCACCTACGGGCGCTTGGGTGCAGCACAGGCCGGCACTCTCACTGTGTGAGATACCGCCACTTCATGAATGATCCCCCAGCTGAGGTTAGGAGTGGCAGAGCGGAGGAAGAAAGGACAGGGGAAGATGCCAGGTGTCTGGGTCCAGTGTAGCAACTGAGCTGCCGCTCTTTCCAGTGTTCCTCTCAGATTCAGTCCCTTACTGTAAGCTGGCTGGCGGCTGCTGATCACTGTGGAGTTCCAGCGCTTCTCTTCCCATTCATCAGCAGAGGCGGAGTTGCGTTGGCAGAGGCGGTAATGTCTGACTCTGATGTCTTGTCTCTGTGTGAGTGTGACCCAGTTGACTTTCCATCACATGTGCAATGTGTCAGTGAGTGATGACATCATCACAATTCCACAGCCTGCTCTTCTAATGCCTGCTGGGCCTGCTGATCTGTGTCAGAGTAGGTGGTGGGGTGTTCAATCTGTCACTGTGTGGGATCGCTCAGTTCAGGTGTTCTCTCTGTGTTGGCTGGGCTGCTTACTGTCACAGTATTTTATCTCCTCCCATTGCCTGGGGAACTCCAGGCTGGGATCTGTCAGAGTATGGATCCATCATCCTTCACTCATTGCAACTGTGACCCTGCCACTGCCAGCCAAAAATACAGCCCATCCATGACACTGATTTTGTCTTTAATATTGGTGCTGGTGGCATTTTTTGGCACTTATTTTTGCAAATTAAAAGAAATTTAGCAGTTTCATGTGTTTTTTTTATTTAACCTCCCTGGCGGTATTCCCGAGTGTAGCTCGGGGGTAAAGTTTCAGTACCACAAACGGTAACCCCGAGCTACACTCGGGCTTACCATACAGCGCTGCTCCGCGATCCCTCGATCACTTACCTTGTCCTGCACTCCCGCGATGTCCCTCCTGCAGTGTCCCCAGCAATGTAATCCGGCGGATGCCGGCATCTGTCATCTGGGTTTTGTCCCCTGCAAGCATCGGGACGTACGGGGGACGGAACGGCGAGAGATTTGAAAAGGACAAAAAGTGACATTCACTAAAATCACATAGTAAAACATTACTGTATCAAAGCATTTCACATACATTTTGGCCCGAGTGCTTTGTCCTGTGCCCTGCCTGCATTTTTACTGTTCTTTCTGCCTGGAAACTGAGAAATGTCAATGCCGTCCAAAAAGCGTCCCTTCAGGTCAAAAGCGGTTTTAGACCAGCTAGAGAACAGCGATAGTAAATCAGAACCACTTGCAGAATTGAGTGATAATGATTCGTGGGGAAATTCGTCATCAGACACTGAAAACGATTTTGCAACTTTGCTCAGTGATGTGCGAACTTGGCGCTATATTTCAAATTTCAGTGTTTTTGGTTTGATTATATTATTGAATTAAATTTATTATTATTATATTATTATTTTTTATGATTATTTAATAAATTATAAATTATGATTTCGTGTTTCAAGTTTTATCATACCCGGGATGTTTACTAGACTCTTGTTCGGACAGATTTCAGTGAGTTATTCCTAAAAATTACAGGCCTACAATAAAAAAATACATATTTCCATGCAAATAAATGTACCGCTTTGAGCACAGAAATATGGACATAATCAGACCGCTAGGGAGGTTAATATTTTCTACTGTTTTTAAAAATGTTCATTTATTTTTTGGAGGGCGCAAATAGCTGGTCTTGCCTAGGGTGCAAAATAATCTAGCACCAGCCCTGGTACTTAGGAGTATTGTAGATGCAGGTAAACTCCACATGTGGTTCTAAACTGTATGAAAGTATTTACTCCTTTATAATAGTAATATAATAATCGGTACCATGCTGCCTCTGGTGCAAACTCTCATTGGGCAAGGGAATTTTGTTAGACATTTAGTTATTAATCCAATGAGTTTAAGGCAAGGGTCAGAGTTTAACAGAGTCTAGTTTAAGGGATTTAGGGGGTTAAACTTCACATTAAAGCTGTATTCCAGGTATGCTTATTTTTACATGTTTACATTGGTCCAGCTTGGACCAATGTAAGTATGTATGTGTCATATCCCCGTGGAAGCAGGAAATCATGGTAGTAGGCACTGCTACATCAGTGATGGCCATTAGCTTCCAGGTCCTGTGCCGAGCGGCTGCCCTGCTGCTTAGTGAACACAGGAGGTCACTTGGTCGCTTGGGTGCCATTCAGAGAACACTTTGCATTGTCTTATTGGATTCAAAGCATTCTCTGATTCAGTTAGTTGGGATAATCTATATCTACTCCCTACTTCCAGCACTGTAGCCATACAAATTACAAGTAATGGGTTCTCACCCCTCTATACATTCCCATGAAAAGGTAATAATGATGAATGTGACAAAGAACTCAACTGCAAGAGTTTTGTACACTTTATAAAGCTCTTGGTATGAAGAGGACCATCCAAAGGACTAATCAACAGCGTCCAACACGATCTCTGCAGGGTGTCATTGTGTTTGGAAATAATTAGTTGATTGTTAAAATAATTAGTGTTTTTTTTTTGCAGCATTGATTGCTCCCTTTGGAAAAAGGTGTTCAAGTAAACTGGTAAATAATTAGGCCACAAATAAATGGGAAAGTTCCCCTTGGGAGCTTTATAAATAGATGAGGAGTAGGCTGTATGCTATTGTTATGCTAAATCCTTAATGGGTAAAATTAAAACAAGAATTGTAAAAAAGAACCTGACCTAAAGGTGTCAATGGTATCAATAGAGTTGAAATAATGGTGTCTTGAAATGCTTACTTACCTGTGTTAGTGTTGTAACAGAATGGGCAATCATTCAAATATTCACACAGAGAGTAACTAACTTGCAGTTTACTAAACAGGTGAAAAGTTACAATCAATGGCAAAGAGTGTGCAAACATTGGAGAATACCACAAAAACAGTCAGAGTAACATGTGACTGCATTGCATATTGTCTATAAGACTAGAGTATACTTGGGGATGTATTCACCACATGTGCTGTTGGGGTGTGCTAGTGGGGATGTGTTCTCCAAAGTAGCTGGGTCTCTCGGAGAAGCGTTGTGCTAATAGGTTCTGCCCACATGTGTTGCTGCCCACATACCGGTTATGACAGTGGAGGGCCACTCACCTGATCACTTCAGTCATAGAAATGTTTTAGACCAGTAGTGTTATACTTCCAAGTTTTGAAATATGAATTTTCAAGAGTTGCTTGCTAAAACGCATGACTCACACCTTCTCCACAAAGTGCTAGGACATGGTCATCCAGTGCCCAGGGTGAATATGGCAAACTCTGCCCCCCCCCCCCTTCCCTATGTGTGCTCACAGTTCACATCTCAATCTCAGTGTGGTGCCTGCCAAGAATGAAGGCAACTTATGACAAGGGGAGACATGAAGACGGGCAGTCTTCTGCCCTCATTCTCCAGCTGTGCTGTGCTGAGACTGAGCTATGTTCTCAGTGGGTGCCCTTTCTCTCTCTTGTCCACAGTACACTGCTATTGCAGGGAAGAGAGAGCAGAATCCTCCCTCCAGCAGCATTGGGCCTCTGCTTCTTCTGACAGGAATGACTCTGAAGTCACTCCTAGCAGCAGGGGTGTTGCTAGGTGTGTGAAAGCCCTGGGGCACCCATGGGCGCACTGAGTGGTGAAATGATGTGGCATGCATAGTGTGGTCAAATTGCTTTAACAGTGGGAGGGGTTTAAAGGAGTATGTTTAATAAAACTTCAGCCTGCTCTTGGTCATGAGTGCGTAACACAGACCGCAAAGATCAGGACTGCAGACTAGCACATGTAAAAGAATAAACTGTATTCACTAACAATGCAGTAATTCTTAATTTCACTAAAAAGGCAAATAAAAAAAGTTGTAAAAAGTCTGATCTCCTTTTTATAAAATAATTCCTAGCTGTTGTATAAATACAACATATAGACTTTACATTTAATCTAAACTATATCTAAACCCAAGTACAAAATTGTAATTTATTCCAGTATACCAGTCCTTATTAGAGATGAGCGAATTATTCAAAAATTCGATTCGGCTGATTCGCCGAATTTGAGGAAGAAATTCGATTTTCACTGCGAATTTAACTTATTAAAAGGGTTTCTAGGCTTCAGACGAGCCGTTTATATTAGTGCCAGAACACTGTACCTTTAATTTAAATTGCCCTTGGTGATGTGGAAGGAGAATGGAGAAGGAGTAGGATGAGAAGAAGGAGAAGGAGAAGGGATGTGGAAGAAGGAGAAGGGATGAGAAGAAGGAGATGGATGAGAAGAAGGAGAAGGATGAGAAGAAGGAGAAGGAGAAGGATGAGAAGAAAGGGAGAAGGAATGAGAAGAAGGATGAGAAGAAGGACGAAGGATGAGAAGAAGATGAGAAGAAGGAGAAGGAATGAGGAAGAAGAAGGATGAGAAGAAGAAGAAGGATGAGAAGAAGGAGATGGATGAGAAGAAGAAGAAGAAGAAGGATGAGAAGAAGGAAGAAGGATGAAGAAGAAGGAAGAAGGATGAGAAGAAGGAGAAGGATGGAGAAGAAGAAGAAAGGATGAGAAGGAAGAAAAAGGCATGAGAAGAAGGAGAAGGATGAAGATGAGAAGTAAGAAGTAGGATGAAGAAGAAGAAGAAGGATGAGAAGAAGGAAGAATTCCAAGCCGGCCAAAAAGTTATCTGACAGAAGCTCCGCTATTTTCTTAGCGGAGAGCTTGCAGCAGATACACTTAGCTTTCTGCAGATACACTTTTTTTGCCTGGCTTGAGAATTCTTCTTTTTTTTTCTTCTTGTTTGTTTTTTTTTTTTCTTTCTTTTCTTTTTTGTTTTTATTTCAGAAGAAGAAGAAGAGGATGAGGTTGAAGAAGAAGCAGAAGAAGAAGACAGAAAGTAGGTATTTTAAGAAGAATTCCAAGCACGGCAAAATGGTCTTATTCTGCTTAGGTTATTTTCCTCTATTTCTTCTTCCCTTTTCTCTTTTTTTTTTCAAATTTTTCTTATTTTGAAACATTTCCTCTTTTTTTTTTACTTTTTTTTCTTTTTTTATTTTTTTTTTATATTTAGATAAAATCTTTTTCTTTTTTAAATCTTTATTTTGTCTGAGGAAACTTTCAGAAACTTAATTTCTTTTTTGCAGATACACGTTGCGGAGTTCTGCAGATTCTACTTTTTTTTTTTATTCTTTTTTTTTTTTTCTTGTATTGCAGATTCTTTTTCTTGGGAATTCTTCTTTTACTCTTCTTTTTTTCTTTTTTTTCAGAATTGAAGAAGAGGATGAGGAAGAGAGGTAGAAGAAGTTTGGATTTACGAATTCCAATCGGCAAAAAAGTGTATCTGCAGAAGCTCCTTCGATTTTTTTTTTTTCTATTCATTTTTTTTACAGCGGTTTATAACTTTTTATCTTTTTTTTTCATAAATTTTTTAAATTGGTACAATTTTTCAACCGCCTTTTAACTTGTGAATGTTTTTTGTTTCTGTCAGAAATAGCCTTCCATTCTGCAGATACATTTTAGCGGAGCTCTTTTTCTATTCATTTTTTTTTCTTTCATCTTTGGAATTTTCTTTTTATTTTCATCCTAACTTTTTTTCTTCTTCTTCTTTATCTTTGGATCTCAGAAGAAGAAGATGAGGATGAGGATTTAAGAAGAAGAAGAAGAATTCTTATTTTTTCTGAAAGAATTTTTTTCTCCTTTCTGTGATTTAATTTTTTTCTTTTTATGAAGAAGAAGAATCTTTCTTTTTATTCTTTCTTTTTTTTTTTTTTTTTTCTTCTTCTTTACTTTTTATTCTTCATTTTTTTTTCTTTATGAAATCATTCTTCTTCTTCTCCTTTTTTATTCTTTTCATTTTCTTTTTTCTTTTACATTTTCTTCTTCTTTTTTTGCTTCTGTTTTCATTCTTCTCATTTTTCTTTTCTTGTTTCACTTAAAATTCTTCTTCTCATTCGTCTTTTCATTCCTTCTTTTCATTTTCTTTTTTTCTTCTTTTTCTTTTCATTCTTCTTTCTTTCATTCTTCTTTTTATTGTTTTTTTCTTTTTTTTTTCTACTTATTCTTCTTTTTTTTCTTTTTTTTTTTTTTCATTTTTCTTCTTTTTTTCATTCCTTCTCATTTCATTCTTTTTCTCATTTTTTCTTTTTTTTTCATTCTTTTTATTTATTTTTCATTTCATTCTTTCCTTTTTTTTTTTGCTTTTCAATTCTTCTTCCTTTTTCATTCTTCTCATCTCTTTTTTCATTTTTTTCATTCTTCTTTTCTTTTTTTTTCTTCTTTTTTTTCTTCTTTTTCTTTTCATTTTTCTTTATTCTTTTTTTCATTTCTTTTTTCTCATTTTATTTTTAATCTTCTTTCACAAAAAGAATGAAAAAAGAAGTATTTTTTTTTTCATTCTTTTTTCTTCTTCTTTTTTCTTTTTTTTCTTTTTTTTTCTTTTTTTTTTCATTTTCTTGCTCTTTCATTCTTCTTTTTTTTCTTTCTTCTCTTTTTTTTTTTTTTCTTCTTTTTATTTTCTTTTTTCTTTTTTTTCTTTTTTCTTTTTCATTCTTTTTCTTTTTTTTTCATTATTTTAATATTCTTCTTTCATTCTTCTGTTTCTTTTCATTCTTATTTTCATTCTTCTTCTGAATGAAGAAGAGAAGATAGGAATGAGAAGAATGAAAAAGAAGAATGAAAAGAAAGAATGAGAAGAATGAATAGAAGGAAGGAAAAAAGAAGAAGAAGATAGAATGAAAAAGAAGAAAGAAGAATGTAAAGAAGAATGAAAAGAAGAAGTAATGAAAAGAAGAAGGAAGAAGAATGAAAAGAAGAATGAAAAGAAGACAGCTTGAAAAGAAGAAGGAAGAAGAATCGGAATGAAGAAGAGAAGGATTCGAGAATGAAAGATGAAGAGATGAAAAGAAGAGAAGAATGAAAAAGAATTGAACCCCGGAAGGAAGAAGAATTGAAAAGAAGAAGAGAAGAAAGAAAAAGAAGAAGAAGAATGAAAAGAAGAATGAAAAGAAGAATGAGAAGAATGAAAAGAAGATATTGGAAAAGAAGAAAGTATTCCAGTACAGCAAAAAGAAGTATTTCCTACAGCAAAAAGTGTATCTGCAGAGAGCTCCGCTATTTTCTGACAGTTCTCTGGGTCATGTTCCTTCACATTTACTGACGGGTTTGAAAACCTTGTATATCTGTTTCGAATAAAAAAATCTGTATCCTAAATTGGAAACACAATAGATACAATGTTTCAACCGCTGTTTCATGTGGTTTCCTTCTGTCAGTGAACGTGCAGAAATAGCGGTAGCTGCCTCTGGCAGGGACACTTTTGCCGGCTGATCCGGGAATAAATCCGATTCGCGCACCCGAAAGTATGCTAATATTCGGATTCGCCGACAAATCGAATTTTTCCTGAAATTCGTAAACGAATTCCACTTCGCCTGGTCGCGATTCGCTCATCTCTAGTCCTTATATATCATGATTACTTTTTTCTTTTTTTTATCAGAGCCAAAGTATAATTTTCTGCAAGTACAGAAAAATTGCTGATGATCGTTACTGGTAGAAATCTAGTGTCTTTGTAGCTTTTTGTGCACAGACCTGAAATTTCAAATATAATGTCTATCAGCTGTCCTGGCTATCTTTTGTGAACTACAAAACAACCCTCTCTATGTAATAGAGGTGTTTGTAGTCCTTAGGTTGACAACACTGCTCTTCATAGATACAGTACCGTGAATTAACTTTGTCACACTAGAACAAGATCACCAGGTTAGAAAAAAGAGAAAAAAGCCTGATAAAAGGAAACGAATACAGTCACCACACACCTACAAGTTGGTAAGCTACAATATGTTTCATTTTCCATTTTGGGTCTAGACCAGGGGTGGGCAAACCTTTTGACTTGAGGGCCGCAATGGGTTCATATATTGGACCCGGGGCCCGGACCAAGAGTAGATGAATGACGTGTATGTGTCATCCATAGTAAGTATAGTAATATTCCCCCATAGTAAGCATAGTAATTAATCCCCCATATAGTAATTCATCCCCCATAGTAATTCATCCCCCATATAGTAATTCATCCCCCATAGTAATTCATCCCCCATATAGTAATTCATCCCCCATAGTAATTCATCCCCCATATAGTAATTCATCCCCCATATAGTAATTCATCCCCCATAGTAATTCATCCCCCCTATAGTAATTCATCCCCCATATAGTAATTCATCCCCCTATAGTAATTAATCCCCCCTAGTAATTAATCCCCCATATAGTAATTCATCCCCCATAGTAATTCATCCCCCATATAGTAATTCATCCCCCATATAGTAATTCATCCCCCATAGTAATTCATCCCCCCTATAGTAATTCTTCCCCCCTATAGTAATTCATCCCCCATATAGTAATTCATCCCCCATATAGTAATTCATCCCCCATAGTAATTCATCCCCCCTATAGTAATTCATCCCCCATATAGTAATTCATCCCCCATATAGTAATTCATCCCCTATATAGTAATTCATCCCCCATAGTAATTCATCCCCCCTATAGTAATTCATCCCCCATAGTAATTCATCCCCCCTATAGTAATTCATCCCCCCTATAGTAATTCATCCCCCATATAGTAATTCATCCCCCATAGTAATTCATCCCCCTATAGTAATTCATCCCCCATATAGTAATTCATCCCCCATATAGTAATTCATCCCCCATAGTAATTCATCCCCCATATAGTAATTCATCCCCCATAGTAATTCATCCCCCATATTAAGTCTCTAAGTCCCCTCTGTGTCAATTCACTTACCTTTGCTCCGTGCGTTCCTCTCGCCGTGTTCCCGCGCCGTTCCGGTGTAGCATGAAAATCTGTCCCCCTCGACGTATCTGTGCATGTGCCAGTTTCAGGCATTAGCAGCCGATCAGCGATCTCCGGCACATGCGCAGATACGTCGAGGGGGACAGATCCTCATAGGAGACAGATTTTCATGCTACACCGGTCTTCAGGGCGGACTGTGAGAGGAGCCTAGCGGGAGCCTAGCTCCGCGGGCCGGATTAAAAGGTCCGCCGGGCCGTATACGGCCCGCGGGCCGTAGTTTGCCCATTGCTGGTCTAGACACACTATTTTAATCTACCTCCCAGACTGAAATGCAAAAAAGTCAGACTTTTGTTCTAGAACATTAGGAAAGTAAAGACAGAGGGGATGATTTACTGAACATAAATAGGGTGTTAACTTTGCAAGGTAATTTTCCCCAGAGCCTAGTGAACGTGCTGAAATGTTACTTTGCAAGGAATACCCAACTGTGCAAGAAAAGAAAAAGCAGCATTTTTGCTTGCCTTTGCTTGGATGATGGAAGTCGACAAAATAACCTCATTCACTAAGCTCTGGGGAAATTTCCATTGCAAAGTGTAACTTCACTTGCAACATGAGCAGTCTGTTTGACTTTAGTAAATCAACCTCAGAAACTGTGAGATATAGGAAGCCAGTAGATTGCTCAGCACACACTAGGGCTTTACATTACCCTTTTGCCCAGGCCAAAAAAAACAACACGTTTTTTCTTAGTTTTTGTTATATTTTTTTGAGAAATGTTGTAAATAAGTGATTTTTCTCCTGAAAATTTTGAAAAAAAAACTGATATGCGCTATAAAATGTAAAGGCTGCAGTGATGGGCACAGATAGGTGGCACTGATGAGCACTGATGTGGAGGCACTGGTAGGTGGCACTGATGGGCATTGACAGGCATCACTGACGGGCACTGAAAGACAGCACTCATATATGGCACTGATAGGCGGCACTGATAGGTGGCACTGATAGGCGGTACTGACTGGAACTGATAGGCGGCACTGACTGGCACTGTTAGGTGGCACTGACTGGCACTGTTAGGTGGCACTGATAGGCAGCACTGACGGGCACTGATAGGCGGCACTGATGCACACTGATAGTCGGCATTGACTGGCACGGATAGACGGCACTGACTGGCACTGATAGATGGCACTGACTGGCACTGATAGGTGGCACTGACTGGCGGCACTGATAGGTGGCACTGACTGGCATTGATAGGTGGCACTGAAAGGCAGCTCAGATGAGCACTGATATGTGGCATTGATGAGCACTGATGGGCACTGGCAAGTGGCACTGATGAGCACTGACAGCTGGCATTGATGGACACTGACAGGTGGCACTGCTAGGGCTACACTGATCATCAGGGTACACTGATCATCAGTGCCCCTGATAAGCAGTGTACATGTCCCCTCCGAGGAATGCCGATTACTGGCTCTCCTCTCCTCTCGAGCTGTCAGTGTGTGACAGCTCGTGAAGAGAGAAATGCCGATAACCGGCATTTCCCTATTTAAATGAGATCAGCTGTGATTGGACACAGCTGATCACATGACCGAGCCGAAATCTTCGGCTCTTTCCATTGATCGGTGATCCACTGTGTCCAAGGGACACAGCACACCGATGTTCGCCACGCATGCGCGGTTAGAATGGGAAGACGTCATATGAAATCCTCCCAGAACAAGAGAACCAACTTGCGTACATCATTTCCTTATATGGCGGGCGGGAGGTGGTTAAAGTGATACTAAACCCAGGACCCTGCATTCACTCTATCTGGTCTCCCACAGAACACAGAACATGGACGTGCAATTATTTTAGTAAATATAAACTGCTAAATACCTTTTCGCATCAGAAGTTAGAGCAGTCTTGTGACTTCAGCAGATCACTGGTTAAAGCTTGTAGGAGGAGTTTTATTTCTGCTCTAGGAGGATGTGAAACCTCTGACCCTCTGCCTGAAAAGTGTTGATTGGCCCTGTGCACTCTCCCAAGAAAAATAAAACCTCTCTAGCAATACACACCAAACGGAGCATGTGCATGTGACCACGGGTTCAGTCTGTATCAGGTAGTCATTTCAACAAGAGGAGGGGCAGAGAAGAAAGGAATAAACGGCCTTTTTACACAATGCAGAGGATTAACCCCTTAGGTTCCACAGTGAGTATAGCAAGCATGCTTTACTGCATATACAGACTAATTTTACTGTTGTGGGTTTAGTAACACTTTAACTCTTTTATACCACAACATGTGCATTGCATTTGTTAAGTGAGTCTGGTTGTCGGATGGCATTCTTATATCTCATTGTTTTACTGTCACAGCTAAAAGCTTGTTGTTGTGACTGTTATTTAGCTCATATAAACTACATGATGGATATGGGAACTTCTAGAAATTATTACTTTGGTAAGACACAGCAAGTGCTTAATAAAGAAAATGACTTGCAGAGTTCATCAGTTTACATATTGTTTCTCTGCTGTCTAGATAACTTATTTCTGACATAAAATTCTTGGAAGAAAGTCTTTATGCTCGTTTCTTACATATTTTATTGTTAATAAATTTTGGACTTCCTGTCTTTGTTCACAAGTGAATAAAGTACAGCAGCTTGATGTAGATGGGCCTTTTGAAAGCTGAGTTGTGTCAGTCTCTTTACGTCTATGATTTAAACTTCAGAAAAGAAACATCAATACATATATGTAGAGATCTGGCAGAGATCTGGCATGTGTGACATAACAAATGTTTTAATGCATTAAACCCCCATTCACACTTGAGTGTTTTTCAGCTTGTTTCCCTATGCCCGACTATGCTCAGCTTATAGAATCCCATTCTTTCTATTTGTTCCTGTTCATATTTGTACTCTCTAAAAACGTACAAGATCTTTTTTAATATATTCGGCAGTTTTTGCCTCCATAGACTTCAGTGGATGCATTTGGACATATTTTTGTGCAGGTTTTTATGCCTGAAAAACTGCTGTCTTCCTACAGAACTGCTCTCCCCTGTTGCCTAGCCCAGAAAAAAAATACCTGTAGACACATGCAAAAAAAAAAACACTACAGAAGTACAGAAGAGTTGTAGGAAATGCTGAAATGTCCAAAAATATTTCAAAATCACTCAGATATGAATGCAAGCTAGATGAACGCAGTGTTTTTTAAAGCTGGCACACAAGATTCACTGCAACTGGCTATGTATGTGTCATTGGAAGACCCACTGTTCAACAGATTTGGTCACCCATGGGTATATCAATGGTTGTATGAAAGCTGTATATGTGCCCTAGTGTAACACTTATGAGTGCCAGTTCACATGTGAAATAACATTGCTTCATATAGTACCTGTTAACATATGTCTGGTACACTGGCGGTGGGATTCAGTGTGGGTTCAGTATGGTTTGAAAAAGAGTTATCTACAATTTCTGAGCAGTGCCTTCAGGTTCAGGTGCAGATTACAGGCTATTGACTTCTATGGGGACCGATTCTAAACTGCAGCATAAAATCCTCAGCTAATCCTGTAACCCTGACATGAACCGCTGAACAAATACTGTGTTAATTAGCTGTAAAACCTGAGCTTCAATCCGCACTGCACATGTGTGAATCAGCTCTAAAGTCACATTTCCATCCTGGCCACTGATTGGTTGGTTGTTGCCCTTACATGTTAGGGAATACAGACATGGACCAAATACTGTATGTATTAGTAGATTTCAGTGTTATTTTGGTCATTTGGATCTTCAAAAGCCATCTGGGAACAAACACTGCTTCAAGACCATTCTGCTTTATTTTTTTTTTTTTTTTCCAAGAAATTTTTATTGAGATATGAAAGGCATAACAAGTCATAAACAAATACGGATCGCAGTCCGCGCAAGTCTTTAAGCATGTTCTCTCCCGTAACGCAGACGGGTTCAGGACATATAAGTAAATCGTAGCACAATCTGAAATACAGTCCTAAGAGGAAGGCATAGTATATACCCATAGCAATGATGTTAGCAGTATGTAATATATAGAAAGACGGGGTACAATAGTCCTTGTGTAGGGAGAACTAAAGAAACAGGACAGTGAGGTATATAACAATAGTCGTGTCAACTCAAGGCATATATGTCTTAGGATTCCGTACCTGAACATTATAGATTAGATTTGAGGAGTATTGTTACACCTGTGTGTCTGTAAGTACTCTGTACCTTATGAAAAAATATAGTTAGTTAGAATATGGTAAAGAGGTGAAACTGAGAGAAAGAAGAGATCGGAATGAGACGAGCAAGGGAATGGAGGAAGAGTATGAGGAAAAATATCATAGTGGGGCGAGGAGGGACATAGGGGGGACATACAGAGGAAGAGAGAGAGAGAGAGAGAGAAAAAAAAAAAAAAAAGGGGGGGGGGGGGGGGGGGGGGAGGTGAATGGGGGAAGGATGAGTTATATAACTAAATAGGCATAACCAAACCAGACATATCGGTTAGCAGCTTCCAGGCTGAGATAGATTCAATCATTACTTAGAAATACAATTTCGTTAAAGTCCCGTAATGTAACTATTCCTGAGGTGAACGTTCTAGGGGTTTCCGTGTCACCAAATCTCCTCTCGCTCATTCCTTCATTAGACAATGATAAGTATCGGTAGTTTGGAAATGATTCCAACACGCCCAAGTCTTCCTGAATCTCTCGGGGTGTTCTTTTGCCACTGAAATCAGCTCCTCCATCTCTGCGATCCTGATGATCCTAAGAAACCACTCTCGCACGGTGGGAACGTATTCCGATCGCCAATGGATCGGAATACACTGTCTTGCCGCATTTATCATGTGTAAAGCAAGCGACCTACGATAAGTCCGCACAGAAAGTGAGGAATGATGAAGTAGACACTGTGCTGGGGTAAAGTCTAGGGTGTATGTAGTTACTTGTGTGATTATGTCCAAAACTTTTCTCCAGAAGGGTTGCAGCCGCGGGCAGTCCCACCAGATATGTAGAAGAGTACCTGTTGCCCGGGAACATCTCCAGCATAGATCTGAGGCGTTAGGATCAAATTTACGAACCACAGATGGAACTCTGTACCATCTGGAAAATAATTTATAATTGCCTTCTTGTGTAGAGACACAAATGGAGCCTTTATGCATATGATCGTAAATGTGGTCCCAGTCCTCTGGTGAGATTTGAAGTTGTAGGTCATGTTGCCAGGCTGAACAGGTCTTCCGCGAATGAGATGTGTTAGTACTTTCAAGGCAGGAATAGAGCTTAGATATAACATGCCGCTGGGGGATGTCCGTAAAGCAGAGCTTCTCAAATGCAGTAAGCGGTCTTGAATAGTCTTTTAGATGTGGGGAGTTACGTAAGAAATGGTGGATTTGTCTATACATCCATGGTGTTAGCGTAATGGATGGCCACGTCTTTGCAATGTCTTCTTTAGATAATAGGCTAGAATCTTTGAAGAATTGACCCACTGTAAGATTCTCATCACGGCCATACCCAGTGAGAAAGGTCTATTCTGCTTTATATCTGCTTCTGCTATTGCAGGAGCACCCTTAGCTAGGCCACTGGTTCCACCAGGTCCCATACTTCTATCTTTTGTATCCCCAGCAGACTGTTTAAAGAAAGTGGCTCAGGTTGTTTTTGGAACCCATTGTCTCATCAATTAGGGTTGTCAGGAGCTTCCCAAACCATTCTGCACAGTTTTTATTACGCACTTTCCTAGAGTCAAGTTCAGATTCTCTTTGACTTCAGTGGGATCTTCTGTTGAAAAATTCTGAATTTCAGAGGTGCTTTAAAGCAGTGTTAATCCCAAAAGCAAACGTATTATATTTCAGCTTAACAATTTTTCGATGTAATGGCTTCATTCATTTTCTTTTTTAGGCTTTCTTTCTTCTATTTTGATCTAGCAATCTAGCCAGTAAGTCTGTTGTTTTTCGAAAGAACAAGCTCTCCAGCAGAATGTATCTTTTACATAGATGAGACAGGCCACTTACCACCAGTAGGGGTGATTAAACTGATCAGCTTTTATTTACTCATGTAAAACCTTCATTCAAAAAAGAAAAAGAAAACAGTTTGTTGCAAATGCTTATAAAGTATTAACTGGAGTTTGGTTTCAGTTTGTCAGTGTTTTTAAATCGGCTAGTACATCTAACACCCCCCCCCCCCTCCCCCAAACTGACAATGTCCAAAGGTGCCCTGTGCGCCTACATTAACCTCCCTGGCGGTCTGATTATTTCAGATTTTTGGTGCTGAAAGCAGTACCATTATTTTGCATGGAAATATGTAGTTTTTTATTGTAGGCTGTAATATTTAGGAATAACTCACTGAAATCTGTCCGAACAAGAGTCTATTAAACATCCCGGGTATGATAAAATTTGAAACACAAAATAAATTATAATTTAATAAATAATCATAAAAAATAATAATATAATAATA